TCTTTAGGTTTCATTTACTCTGTTATGGGTGGAGCTGATATCAATCACCCTGACATTTCACTATGTCACCACTAGATGGTGCAGTTTCTCACGGTGTTAAAGAAATTCTGCATCAGACATGCTGATAGCCTCTCTGTGTCAGTGAAGTTGTGCAGAAATACTGATCATTCACGCTGCTGTTTTAAAGGCAGGTTGCACATTGGGCAGGTCAACAATCTGTGCCAGGGTTAACAAATAGAGATAGTCAGTTAACCTAACTTGCATGTGTTTGAACTTCCTTCCAATCCACTCCGTTCAGTCCGACCTCGCCTCGTATCTGCTCCTCCTGGAATCAGAAAGACAAAGAAGAAAAACAATATGTAGCCTTGATCATCTAATATTATCCCTCAGCTGATTTTAAGGCCCAGTTCAGGGCATCTTGTTTGGACTTCCTGACCTAGAAAGACTTATTCTAACCATTATCAGTGTATGTGTAAGCATGCAGCAAAAAGGAACCTCAAGCGATCTACATCCACGTCAATATTTCAGCACAGGCATAGCGCCGGACGAAGCTTATGGCCCTCAAAACACAGAGAGCCAACTCATTCATGAGCACATTTGCATTGTGTATAAATAGAATAATTAAAACAGCTTTATCAAATAATTTAAATAAAAGATTTTCAACCCTAACAGGTGACAGGACTCACCACTGCATCACTCTTCACTAGGATTAATCTGAAAATGTTCTAAACAACATGCAGTGGTAGGTAAACTAGTAGTGTGAGGTGGCATGATTTCTTTTTTCCCAAACCAGCATTTTATCCAAACAAAGGTGAAAGATGCACCAGTTACCAGTTTAATATCTTATTCTCTGTTCTGAGAATATATCAAACAACCAAGAATGAAACTGATCAGATAATTTTTAGAGACTTTATTCCGCCTAAATGCTTTTTCTCAGTTTATAGTGTGTTTGGTTTCCCTTTTCATTAGAAATCATTAATAAGAAAAGAACATTTGTTACCTTATAGCTCTTAGTATGTACTTTGTGTCATCCGCTTCATTAAGATGGCAGTTACTTTTTTCAGGGTGAGCAGCTTTGTTGTATCGCACTCATGTTTCATTCCATAAAAATGTTTGTCTAGTCTCTGAACACACATAGCAGCTCAGGATATTTTCAACAATTGCAAGTTTCTCAGTCATTTCCACTGATTTTCAGATATTAATTTAGTTTACAGGTGAACTCACCAAAACAAAGTCCTTTTCAGTTATAATCCACTCACTGTCAGTTTGTCAGTTCAGATCCCAGCATACAAACGTATCTGCGTTGTGATAAAGAAGTAAGTTTTATTTTCTCTGTAATGGGTGGAACTGATAGTAATGAACCTATCATTTGACTCAGTCCCCACTAGATGTTGCCATTTCTTTGTTATAGATGTCAAAGAAAATTATATGTTAAAGAAGAACCATGTGAAATTGAGGTGAAATTTTAAGTGTGACTATATAAAGTATGCTACGATTTTGGCTAAACTGATATATATTCAATCATTTTTAGCTCCTATTCTCAGAGGTCCATTGTTTTTCTGTTAATTGCTTGTAAACCCAGAAAAAGAAAACAACTAACAAAAACTTATGAATTACATTTTCTTTTCTATGCATAATGTGTCTCTGTTGTAAAAATATATTTAAAATATAGCATTGAATTTAATCGTGTAATGTAATGGTAAATGGCCTGTATTTGTATAGCGCTTTACTAGTCCCTAAGGACCCCAAAGCACTTTACACAACCAGTCATCCACA